ATTAAACATCATATAATAATATAAACATTTTATTTTAAAAAATCCATTAAAATCTCATTGAAGCTTTAAATATGGACGTGCGGTCTCACAGTTCTCTATATAAAATATTGTGAATTTTGAACTAGTGAAATTTTCATTATATAGTTAGTATTATTGCTACGTAGGGACGTTTAAACAACCAAAAACAAATAAATACAATAAATTTGTTCATTAGTCGCTATAAACGAGAATATTTAACATCAATCAGTAATTTTTAGACTTTCATACTTAAAGGTTAAAACAACGAACATCAAAAAAGAGTGTCATAAAATTCATAAAGAAACACACCTAATGAAGGAAATAGTATAATAGGAATGATGGTCGCTAATAACCACAGCAGTTGATGCGATCTTAACTTGCGGTGGCAACGAACTTGGCAGAATTTTACACGAACAATTTTGTATTTGCCTATTATGTACAGATATGTACACTAATTTTGTTTATTTATAATTTTCTACAATAAGATTACTAACGTATATGATATGTCGTTGGCAATTTTGGAACAAAAACATCACAACGCGATATTTATTTGATATCTATATTTTTGATTGAGCAATGTTAGATCATATTAAAATTTCTCAAAATTCCACCTTATTATTTCGATATTTATATCTAAAGAACAATGATAAGATGTTTTCTATAAAGCCCAATGAACAATCCAACACAAACATTATCTGATTCACCGATGTTCACCTGAATTTTTACAGGTTTTTAAAGATATAAGTCGTGATCTGTCTCCCACTTATTTCGATATTTTCGCCTAAGAAGAAATCACACAATTATATTATAATTATGTTATATTACGCATAGATTCCTAAGAAAGTTGCTTTCCTTTCATTTTGATGAGTCATGTATATATCAATTGGAACTTTTGCCGGGTGGATTGCCGAAACGGATCACTGTGCGCCGTTACGAGCTCGTAAAATCTCCGATCCAGCCGTCACCCACAACTCCGCTATCGCTCAGTGAAGGGACACCCTGTATTTGGCATCGCGCACCTACGTGAAGCGTATTTACAAGATCTCTCGCGCCTGGAAGCGTAACCGAGGGAGGCCGCGTTAATATTTACTTTCATACACAGCCTCCGCTCGCGGCAGTTCATTCCTGACTGTGTGTCGTGTTACTGTCTAACCGGGAGCGGAACTCCCCGCGAATCGATCCCCGTAGTTTGCCTCTATTTATCTTCTCCCGCTATTGTACAATAATTACGCGGTCTTTCGTGCTCTCTTTGGTTCAAGTTGCGCGAGAGCCGCACCTGAACGGATCCACGCAACTTCCGGAGTATTTAATCATCCCCGGATATCCATAAAACATTAGGTTTACGGAACGCGTCAATTTGACACATACTAAATTTGCTAAATATTATTTGCTAAGTGTCCACGTCGATTTCGATTGATGCAGTTACACGGATACCAGTCTCAATTATCTACTTTTAAATCTTTAATTTCCAAGATCGAAATGAACAAACATCAACGTTTGTAGGAACCATGTTGTAAAGTATACGATAAACGTCCGTAAACCCAGTGTTCAAAACCTCAGACAGCCTCCACGCCTCGCGTGTCTGACTCTTAATTGCCTGTTAATTCGAAAGTGACACGATACCGACTCTGTCTTTCGCGATCTTGGAGAAATATCTCAGTTCCAGAAGTGTTTCGGTGATCTTAAATTCGTCGAACTCGAAGAACCAACGCTACATTGACCGAATCCAATCATGTTTGGCCGATCGGCTGATAGGACTTAGTGCTGGATCTATTAGACTTCAGTTGTTTTCGTGGACATTTGAACTTGGCATCGTTGAAAAGATCAGTGTAACTTTCACTTTCGATCTGTACACGGTTTCGACTCTGAAATCCAAGTGACCGTGAGTAAGAGAATCAGATAGATCTCTGACGACGGGCCTGTCACTCTTGAGTATCCGCTGCCTGAGTGATAATTAAATTCCATTGTTGATGGTATAACACTTCGGAGTGAATGAAGTGTCCCAGACTTTATTATAAATACAAAAGCACGTCTAAACTGGTTTGACTTCTTTGGATCTGTATGAATCGGAGCAACGCGTGAACCAGACTCGAAAAAAAGTTTCTACTAGGCGCTGTTCGAGAGTCGATCATCTTTTGTTTACCGTTGCACGAGACGAATCTCTCAAAGAAGAAGAAGAATGCTTCGGTGATTGCCTAAGACTATTAATAAAACATCTTCGGATGTTTATTTCATGACGATCGAAGGACGGTAGGAGGTTGTGACTTCATCGCGTTTCCACAATTGAACGGGCGAGACTTGTAATAAAGAGTGGCGTGTGCAGCGAGGGGAGGCGATGCGTCGAAATCTGGCATAGCAGATTTTTGAGGCTTCCTTAACCCGGTAGATTGATTCGCGGATGATCTAATAATTGACCAAGGACGAACACCGGCTGAACGGCTACCAGCTAGGAATTAGAGTGCACCGGCAACATGAGAATCCGATACGTGCCTCAGGATATCGGAAATTGTTACAAGCGTACGTTGTTTTTCTGGTTTCCCTCTAGCCTGATCTGCTTCTTTTTTATGTAACGTGCTAATTGAAACAATGCATGCTTGCGGTGTATTGGAGATTCTTTTATATTACAGGGAAACGGTTTTTAATATTCACCTCAT